ATGGATCATATGCTTCTTTACAAGAAGATATAATACAGGGTCTGTTGCAGGATCCGGAAGCTCAGCAGTAATAAGCTGATCACACTGGTCAGACGTACTAATTTTGCAAGGATGTGATAGGATCAGCAAGAAATGAGCGTGGGGAAGACCCCTTTTTTGGAATTCGATCACATACGTGTACGCAGCTACCTTGCCAAACAATGTACCCTTTATCACGTCCTTCTTAAAGTCCTCTAACCGAGCACGGAAGACACGAGCAACAAGTTCTGGCCGATTTTGGACTTCATCCGCGAAAGACAAACGTTCTTTGATTTCAGGCCAATTAGGGTTGCACGTGATCGTTATAAACAGATCAGGCTTACCAAAATTTTGCACAAGGGCCATCGCATCCATGTAACGACCGCACATATCCCGGGGACCACCTATGAAGGAACCAGGAAGCATTACACGCCGCCCAACATCACTGGTGTTCTGCACGCCTGCACCAACGCTGTCAACCAAACCTTGATACGTGTCCGAGCGAAATTCACGTTGTTTACTCCGGTAATAGTCCAACCGTTGCGTTTCTATCTTTATATAAATGTCTACTATGTACTGCTGAAACAGGCGCCCTGTGTGCAGTATGAAAGAGGTGTTTTCATGGCGCATTTGGAGCTTGTATGCATAATACTGCCTGCACGAGACAGACGGCCTCTTCTTGCCATCAGCCCGCATGCTATCCTCTCCAGCAATTAGAGCATTATCAGTTTCAAATTGCGAACAGTCAACAGAAAAAGCAGAGTGTGGCTGCACAGCATTATTGGCAATGCCTCCATGTGTCTTTGGTATCCCTTCATGCCACCCAACTTCACCAAGAGGGAATAATAGAGGATACTGCAATGGATCATAACAACCATAGTAGTAATGAATATTTTGTGACCCACCGCTGTGTGCATACACACGAATGTTCCTGTTGGATACCAGTCCCTCGTATTCATCCTCAACCCAAACAGCAGCAACTTGGGACGAAGTTGGTCGATTGTAAACCCGTTGATCAAGAGCAGGGTTACCATTCAACACGATGGAAAATTCATCTGTGCGTTCAATCTCAGACAATGATTTGAAAAATTGCGCATACGGGTTTGTGGATAGTACGTCCATCAACGCTGTCACAATTGCTCTGTCCAGGCGGTCAGTACTTTCTAGCCTGCTATCCAGAGCACATTCTGTGTCGTAAAAGTACAGTTGCAAGTTTCGCGGCGGGCATCCATCAGGGAGCAAGTCATTGATAAAATGATAGATCTGACCCTGGACTCTAAATGTATAAATTCCCTGATTTCGTCTACATAGCTGTCTGTCGTAGTTATATATGCCGATGGATGTGAAGGCAAACGTATTGTTGTACGTTCGCACACACGTTTGGAAATGTTTAGACAAAGGATCACGGGCAGTAAATAAGCGCTGCAATTGTGTAGGCATTTCAGTAGAGGTAAGCACAATCTCACCCTTACTACAACACATGGCAGGAGGTTCGTATTGAATCCGCTCAACACCGCAAAACGAACAGTCGGGTACAGGGCTTAGACGGTAAAGTTCATGTACAACAGCGGGGGCAGAGGGGCACACGCCAATGGAGTCCATGCAGTCACACGTACCTGATGTGCGCAGGCCGTATCATAGAATATCACCAAGACCCGGGGGTGCGTTAACAATTTTTCGTATAAACACACGGGTGCAAAGCAATGTGAACAAAGGCAGTAAAGAATGATGATTGGAGCATAGAACAGATAGCCGCACAAAAGCAGGGCGTGGTCGAAAGAGCAAGATATACAACGTACGTATAGCGTGAACGAGACACAGAGAATATAAAAACACCATCCAAAGAGCGCCGAATTACAGAGAAGACATTAAGGACAATGTATAATATAAAACACAGAGGGCCAAAAATGACAAGAAAATGAACAAGGTTATGCATATCAGGCACGAGATTGAGGGATTTGTTTTGGAAACACAAAAGGTAAAAATGTCAGACAAATCTAAGGCCGGTTTGAGAAGAGTATATGAAGGATGCCAGCATAGTGCAGATCGCACGCACCTGGCAGATCAACACCACAGCAGCCACGTTGGAGTGGAAGTGATGAGCCGACAGTTGAAGTGGCAAATTGTGAAGCCTTTCTCGTCAACTGGCGACGCCTCTTCTTACGCGCACGCTGTTCTTCCGGCGCAACAATGCTGCCGAACCCACCACGTGTGGCCATTGACAAGTACGCTGGGCACCCGAGAGGGGAAAAAATTAAACACGTGGCTGCCACAAACAACACTGGAAATAACCAACCCAACGAAAGTTCGACGGGTTGTCACACCCGCACAAGACAGTGAAGTGTCAAGGCAGAATAACCTCCCCTCCCCAAAACACAGCACACTGCTCACATGCTGATCAAAACCACACTCAAAAGGATAACGCAGCCCAAAAACTCAACAAAGCAAAAAAGATAACAAAGCATTCCAGCGAGACAAACAAACAAAGGTAACAAAAAAAATGCATTCAGATTATAAAACAAACAAGGAAACTTACAAGACCAGTAAAGGAAGAGCATACAACTGCAGGACAAACTTCCCAAACACCTGAAAATAAATAAGGAAACAACAAACAAGTGTTATTTTTGGGAAAACATCAAACCTCATCACACCTAATAGGGGGGGTTTAAAAGTGACCCAACACAAACCCAATCCGACAACTAACAAATACGAACTCAACCAAAGGTCTGCGCCCCCCTGAAGGTTTGCCACAAAGGACAACACCAGGCCATACACCATAATCAGCAAACAGAACACACAGAAAACGGTGCAAGGCAGCACAATCCAGTGCAAACACAAAAGTCACATGCCTCTAAAACGTCAACCAACAACAAGAAAAGGCCATACCCCAAAGACATGTAATGACCCACTCCCCGGCCCCAAGCAATACACCAACACCAGCGAGCGACAACAACAAATACTACAGAGAACACTAAAGAGTAGATGAGTGTAAGCAAATAAAAGAAACTCACAGGGCAGGAGAAAAACCAAGCGCAGAGGGAGTGAGAGCTAAACCAAAGAACCAAGGAGCCTATACGCAAGACTAAATAAGGGGTTTAGATATTTTTGGCAAGCGAGCAGCTCACACATACGTTTGAACAGTGCAAAGGTGCTCCCTGTCAACAGATTCGCCGGCCACGGGAATTCAACGGAAGGGACCATGACGCAGCGCTAAATAGGATTTGCCGTCCAACCGTTTTAACGGGAATAGAACATCTAACGATCTTACGCACTTAATATATATAGTAAGATATAAAATCACATGCTTCAATTTGTATTGCAATAGCCGCCATATCTAAAACAATCCTCATATTGAGAAAGTAATTCGTGAATAAAAACCCAACTACGTATTAGTCATGGAGTTCTAGAATAAAAACAACTCAAGGAAAAGTTAAAGATAATACTCCGTAACTATGACTGTTTAGTTCAAAAAAAATAACTATATTCGTGAATAACTATACTTAGCAATCATGTGCATCCTATTCTTATACATCATGGCTTTTAGTTATATAACTTATATTTGTTCCCTAAAACTGGGCCTCGCTTAGATAAGTGTGTGATTAGATGGTCTCAATAATGAGTTGTTTGTAATCAATTTCTGTTATGCATCTCAATCAAAGCATATTCTTTCATTTTTAAGTAAAATTAGGTATAAATTCTTGTTGCAGTTCGTAGAGCAGTATATATATATTTGTCAGGGATTTGCCATTTTCAATAACTTGTAGTATGGGTTGACCTTATTATGTGATTGTTGTTCCTAATGCTTGAAATTATAAAAGGTTGTATTTATCTATGAGCATATTAAATAAGCATGCAGTTTACTTATTGGTTTCTAACATTTATTTGACATGTTTGTTAGGATGAGTTTCGAAGTGATATTTCACCATGGGGGTAGTTTTCTGCGCGAAGATTACATTGGTGGTTCCCAATATGTTGAAAACAGAATTGACATTGACAGGTGGAGTTACTTTGAGGCAATCGGGGTAGTGAAGAGGCGATGATTCTTATCAAAGGTTCAGGTGCGACAACGATGCTGCAAAGATTTCTGATTTTGCTATGAAAAATGACAGTCGAGTTCATATTTATGTAGAATCTGCGACGACGAACAAATTAAATGATGAGACTTCTTGTGAGGTTGCCGATGAAGGTGATATTGATGATAGCGAAGAAGAAGTAAATGAGGTTCATTTCGATGATAGTGAAGAGGAAAGGGCATTGGGATTTGATGATGGTTTTATTGATGCTACTGCTCCAGAAGTACATTCTAGTATTGAAATCAATGGTCTCAAATGTATACTTCAAACAAGATCATCCCAAAGAAATGGTAAAAGATTTACACTAAATGAAGATCAGCCAAACAACGACACATGTTCTGCACCTCTTGAGGTAAATGAGAAGATATTTACCCATGATTTAGAAGATGATTATCACTCTGAAGAGTTGTATAGTTCTGAGTGTGAATCCGACTCAGATTTCATTGAGAAGAAGAGGTTTCCAGTGTTTAGAAAGGAAGAACTGGACAAGAATTATAAGTTTAAAGTGGGTATGGAGTTCAAGTCAATTTTAGAGTTTAAAGAGGCAATTCTAGAGCATTCAGTGTTAAATGGAAAGGAGATCAGGTTTGTGAAGAATGACAAAATTAGAGCTAGAGCTGTTTGTAAGAGTAAATGTGGGTTTATTGCATTTGTGAGTAAAGAGAGGGAGAGTCACACGTATAGAATGAAAACTTATGTTCGTAAGCACACGTGCGGCAGGGTTTTCAACAACAAAAATGCAAATTCCAAGTGGTTATCCAAACTTGTAGCTGAGAAGCTAATGTCTTCTGAAAATGTTAAAGTAAATGAACTTATAACTGAGGTGAGGAGGAAATATGCTACTGGTATAACATTTGCCAGGGCTTGGAAGGCCATTAAAATGGCTAAGGAAATTGTTGAAGGCAATGCCACAAAACAATATACGTTATTGTGGAGTTATTCTGCAGAGTTAAGAAGGGCTAATCCTGAAAATACATGCAAGGTTAGTGTAGAAAGGGTTTTTCCTGACTTACAACCAAGATTTGGCTCATTCTATTTCTGTTTTGATGGTTGCAAGAGGGGTTTTCTAGCTGCGTGCAAACCTTTTATTGGGGTTGATGGGTGTCATTTAAAAACAAGATATGGTGGTCAACTTCTTATAGCCGTTGGGAGCTGGAGGGATCCAAATGATCAATACTTCCCTCTTGCATTTGGAGTGTGTGAAACTGAGACTAAAGAATCATGGAGGTGGTTTTTAACCTTGCTATTGGAGGATATTGGACAAGATAAAAGGTGGGTGTTTATTTCAGATCAACAAAAGGTATGCCACATATCTCTAATTGATTCTTTAAAGCAATATGTGAGTTTAATTGCATGTTGTTCTTAAACTGATTATGTTGAAACTATTTGTTCAATAGCTATGATTTTTACATATTAGTGAAATAGCTTATGTTATTATATAATTGTTTATGTTTATTCCATTCAGTTTGTTTTTGGAATTTGACAAAAAAGATCAATTGAATGCATTAAATGCAGCCAACAAAAAAGTAAGCTACAAAATGCAATTGGTTCACGTGACTACACAAAAAAAGCAGTAAAAACTTAGAAAAAGTTATCAGATATAAAATAGATCATTAAAAGAACGAATTTGACAATTTTGTCAGGTAAGGCGCACTGGATAAACAAACTAATATTGCTGATAGGAACTACATGACGGTCTGACTTCGTAAGGTCAAACATATATAACATGGATTAGTGTGGGATCTTTTCTTGGTTATTCATTATCCTTTTTTTTTAAACTAATGTAGGGCCTGATTTCTGTTTTTGAAGAGCTAAATGAAAGTGTAGAGCATAGGTTGTGTTTGAGGCATCTTTATGCTAACTTTAAGAAAAAGTTTGGAGGAGGAACTGCTATGAGAGATCTAATGATGTCTGCGGCCAAATCGACTCATTATAGAGGATGGGAAGAACAAATGGAAGCTATAAAGAAGCTAGATATCAAAGCATGGGAGTGGTTGATGAGTGTCCCAACAAAGTTATGGTGTAAGCATGCTTTTTCTTCCTTTCCTAAATGTGATGTTCTGATGAACAACCTTTCAGAAGCTTTTAATAGTACTATATTGGTTGCTAGAGACAAACCAATTGTGACCATGTGTGAGTGGATAAGGACCTACTTGATGAGTAGAATTGCCACATTGAGAGGTAAGTTGAATATGTGGCAACATAGAGTAATGCCAAAACCTAGAAAAAGATTAGATAGGGAGATAGAACATAGTGGAAACTGGCAGCCGACATGGGCAACAGATAAAACATTTGAAGTGGAGCATACTCAGTTTGTTCATAGGTTTGTCGTCGATTTACAAAAACTCACGTGCACATGCAACTATTGGCAATTAATAGGAATACCATGTAGACATGCTGTTGCTGGGATGTCTTATAGGGGATACAACCCTGAGGATTATGTTAGTCAGTGTTACACACGGAATGTGTATGAGTTATGCTATAGTTACGGCATAAGTCCTATTAATGGACAGTCTATGTGGCCAAATGTTGAGTGTGAGGTTATGCTCACTCCTCGATATAAGAGAGGTCCCGGAAGGCCAAAGAAATTGAGGAGGAGAGGACCTGATGAGGATGAAAATGCTCCAAAATTGAAGAGGGTTAATACGCAATACATATGCACAAAGTGTGACAAATTGGGACACAATTCACGAGGTTGCAAAAGTACAATTGTGAGTTCAGCTGCTCAAGCAAGAAAGGTAAATCATCCTACACTTATTTTAACAATTTCATTTTTATAAATATTAATTACATTTTAATTGATACAGAGAAAGTCCAAAAAAGGAAGCATTGGTGATGGTGTTGGGGGAATGTCAAACGCTTGAGCCATGTCAAATTAGTGTTACCAGCCAGCCTTGGATGCTGAATTTATCATAAATTTTAGTTTTAGTTTATTTTTTGGTGTTTTTAACATGTAACGAATGTTATGGATTAGTTGGCTCAACAATTAGTTTCTTTGATCTTGATTTAGCCTTCTGGGCACCTAAGAATGTTGAAGTATTATAAATTTTAGTTTTAGTTTTAAATATATTGTTTTCTTACTTTTTTTACTGTAATGGATCTTATGATTTAGTTGATTTAGCAATTATTGTATTGAGATTTTACTTCGTCGTTGTAAGACTACATGTCTTATATTTAAGACTTAAAACATACGCCGTAGAAAAATATTTAGAAATAAAATTGAAATTCACAAAAATATAAGGATGTCAAACAATATTCATTAAACTTGCAAGGATGAAAATCTATTTTACGGTTAATTTGCTTAGGTGTCAAATGATGTGAATTCAAGTAAAATTAAATATTTTATGATGTTGATGTGGAAAAGACACGTCAGCGTTTTTAACGGAGACTAACGGCCAAGGATAGAAAAAGATAACGGTGCAAATTGTAGGGATGAATATCAATTTTTTTATTTTGCAGGGACCAAAAACAAACCACCTTATATTTACAGGGATGAAAAACATATTTTAGCCTTTTAATTATTATATTTGTATATAATTTATAAATTTTATACTTTTATGAAAATATTTTGAATGTGGTATATTTTGATATAATTTCTATATTCAAAATAATTTCATAATAAAAAATATCATTGGTCAAAGTTGATTTTTATTGACAAAAAATGTTAATTTGGTGATGTTTTTTGGGACAGAGAGAGCACTAATTATGTTTAATACTTGTTTTACCCTTTGAGTGAATTACCTAAATAGGACAAAAAGTGGTCCAAGCGTTCAAATAGGACTAAATCTTTTAAATTTCCCCCAATAGGGCTATTTATGTGTGTTTGGACAAATATACACATGTAGCTTTTAAAATGTTTTAATTAATAATAAAATCATTAAAAAATGTAAAAAATAATAATAAAAACTTGGAAAAATAACAAAAAAATTATAAAATATTTATAAAATAAAAACTATTTAAAAAAAACATAAAATTAATGACACTTTCGGGGAAAATGACATTTTTTACAAAAAATGAAAGATTTTTCACTAATCGGGGGTGGTGATGCTGGAAGGCAGTGGGAAAGGTATCCATAATTTTTTATGGGTTTTTATTATTTTATAAAAAATTCAAAACAATATTTTTAAATTTTATTGTATAAATATTTTTATTATACATTACTATTTGTTTACGATTTTTTATATTTTTTACGATTTTTTATTATTTTTAAGATTTATTATGAATTAAAATTTTTCATTATGAATTAATACCCTTAGGGGTATTTAGGGTAGAAATCAATGTTTAATCCTATTTTAGAGTGTTTAAAACATAGTAGCTTAGTCCTATATGTGCATTTTAGATTATCTTTAGTCCTAGCTACCAAGAGCAATTTCTATTATCTTTTCTCTTTTTTATTACTACGTACTTTTTATAATCACTTTTTCTTATTTTTAAAAACTTAACTTATTTTATCACATTTACTTTCAAAATCTTCTTTTTCTGTTTTCATACTACAACGTACTATTTTACTCCGTATTTGTTTTCTTGTGAGAGTCAATAAAAGAAAACTAAACTAATACACTGCGTGCGTTTTTATGTTATCTCAAAGTTATGTCTGGATGGGGGTGGAAGTAGAAGTGGACTGGGCCCGGGTCCATCCGGGCTCAGGGTCGGGCTAGGGCGGGCTCAGGGTCAAAATTATTCAGGTCTAGCCCTGGCCCGTGTTTGTTTCGGTACCGGGCCGGGTCGGAATTTTTTTTTTATCTTTTCGAATTAATTATAAAGGGGGAAAATAAAAACATAAAAAAATTGGGCCCGAACCTGACCCAGACCGGTCAGGCCGGTCTACCATTTTTGGATCCCGGAGCCCGCCCTTTCATATGACCGGTTCGGGCCTCAATCTTGGTCCCGGTTCATCGGACCAGGTCGGGCCACAACAGTGTCGGGTCGGGTCCTGGGTCGGGCTGACCCGAACAAGTCCACCCCTAGGTGGAAGTAAATGAGGTAGGTTTCAGTAATCTCAAAATACTCTATAATGGGTAATCTTAAATACATGACTTTTTCAATGTAAAGCTTATCATACCTATGAATGTAATGAATTCCACATGTGCAGTGCTTATTACATTATGAGCCCGTTTGGTAGCACTAAAATCGGCTGTTTTGGCTGATTCTGCTGAAATTTATGAAGTTCTGGCTGAAGTGGCTGCATTGGCTGATTCTGCTAATATAAGAAAAAATTCTTTTAAAAATATATTTTATTAATAAAATGAAGAAAAAAATTATATGTAAAATAGCTAAAATGGTCATCTACAGTAACTTCAGCCAATACAGCCAGAAAAGTAACTCCAACCTTACTTTTTCTGCTTATTACACAATCCAGCGCGCGAAAGCAAATTTTACGTGTTTGGTGAAAAAGTTGGCTGATAAGCCTGATAAGCCAAAAAACACAGTTGCCAAACGGGCTCTATGATTTAAAATAAAATAGCATACCAAACATTGTATTTGAATCAATATGTAATACATAGTACTTATTACATAACAAGGTTCATTACATCATTACATGGTGAAATCTAAATGAATATGGATACGTGTATCCGATACGGGAACATCCATATTAAGTTTCAGACTTTCAGTAGTTGGATCGGCAGATTCTGCTTATTTATGAAAAAAAAATATTTAACATATATTTTATTAATAAATAAATAAAACTTATATGAAAAATGGCTCAAACGATTATCTACGATAAGTTTAGCCAATACAGTCACAAAAACAACTTCAATGTTACTTTCTCACTACTCTTTATACACATTTAGCGCGTGAAATCAAAAGTTATGGGACGTACCATATTTTCATGCCCTTTTTAATATTAAATTTATTATATCATGATATTCCATTTTCACAACTAATAATTAATTAACGCCTTCTAACCACCCCAATGACTGCCACCACCGCGCCGGGTAGCCGTTTGTGACCATGAAATAACGAACTTAAATTTCAGTGACTTCACCATGTTTATTAGTAACTCCATTAATGATTATTAACTTACTACCCACTCCGTTTGACGCATACATGAACTCCGTCATAGGGGCGGATCCAAAAAAATTTGTCATTGAGGGCACACGTTACAATACCAGATATGATACAAATAAATCAATGTATATATTTAACGCAAAAATTCTGTTTTTTTAATAACAAAGTTAGCTCAATAATACAATTCTACAGAGTATAATATATGAGAAAACACATCCTAAAAGGCAAAAATAGGCAAAAGGTAGGTCCTAGGCGCACTTGGCATGAGGCGGCAGGAAAACGCCCTGCATGATAGAAGCGGTCAACTGAAGAGTTGACTGTCAAAGCATAGGCTTGAGTAGGCGAAAGTTTTTTAAATGTTTCTTTGCAAAGAAAAAAATGATTAAATTAGAAAAATCACTTTTATGAACATGTTACATACTGAATCTAACACGGATTAGTAAAAAATCAAGAACATATCATTTTGTATTTACACTTCTTATACATTTAAAAATTGTATACATTGAATAAAGTAAAAATTGGGTTAAATCTTGTATAATATTTTTTGGACATTTTTTTTCATATATCACTATAAAATAGTGCGTAGTAATTATTAATAGAAATCTAAAACACCTTTTCACAACAAAGAGAGTCTTATATTTTAAATTGCTCTTCACTTCTTTATTTTTTGAAGTAATTAATACATGACTTGATTGGGATGTGTGTTAAGTACTGAATACATTCATTCGGAGTAACTAGTAGCATCCAGAGAATGAAAATGGTGATACAATATTCCATGTTTTACTTACAGTTTTATTAGTTCAATTTTGAAAAGTATAAGATCGAGTGTCCATTAATTTATAAGATTATGGTAATTATTTTTTATAATAAATCGATTGACATCCTCCTTGCATGAAAGTAATGGGGGCA